TTAGCCACTATGCTACCAGAGCTCCATAGTGATACTGCCTCGGAAACCCAAGGAGGGGTCGCTATGAGTCGGGTTTGACTCGATGGCACATAACAACAGCAACAACAAGGTCCCAACTATTCAGAAGCTCACAATCCAGGAGATGGCAGGGAGAGGAAAGTCGATACATACATAAATACTGCACAAATATTTGTGCACAAATGTGTATAGCAGCACTATTACAATAGCCAAAAGGCAGAAACAATCCAAATGTCCCTCAGCTGATGCACGGAGAAACAAACTGTGGTTTATATGTACAACGGAGTGCATACAATGGAGACATGCTGCAAGGTGGATGCTAACTGAAACATGCTAATTAAAATAAGGTTACATATTGTATGATTCCATTTATATGAAATATGCACAATAGTAAATCCACAGAGAAAGAAAGAGAGTAGATTAGTGGTTGCAGAGATGAAAATGGGGGGGGGAGAAAATAGGGAGCAAATTTTCAGTGCTTAAGGGGTTTTATTTTGGGGTGATGAAAGCTTTGGAACTAGTTAGGAATGGTGGCTGCACTACGATTGTGAATGTGCCAAATGCCACTGAATTCTTCACTTTAAAATGGTTAGAAAATAACAAATACTGGTGAGGTTGTGGAGAGATTAGAATTCTTGTGCACTGCTGGTGGGACTGCAAAATAGTACAACCACTGTGGCAAATTAATTAACCGAGAATAGAAATACCATTTGATCCAGGAATTCCATTACTAGGAATATATCCCAAAGAGGTGAGAGACAGGACACGAACAGACATACGCACACCCATGTTCATTGCAGCACAATTCACTATAGCAAAGAGACGGAAACAACCTCAATGCCCATCAACAGATGAATGGATAACCGAACTATGGTACATTCACACAATGGAATACTATGCTACATTAAAGAATAATGAAGAATACGCAAATCATCTTTCAGTGTGGATGAATTTGGAAGACATTATGCCATGTGAAATAAATCAATTGCAGAAGCATAAAAATTTTATGGGCCCATTACTGTAAAAAGGAAAGGTTCACTCAGGGAAGGAAAGTCACTTTGTTGGTTACTGGGAAGGGGAGGGAAAATTTGGGACTACTTGGAAAGAAAAAATAATAAAATGGTTAGTTTGTTATGTGAAGTTCATCTCAATTAAAATAAGTTAGAATATGAGATGTGCTAGCACAGAATGTGAAAGAAGAAGGTATTAATGCCACTAAGTCAAGGAAGCCTTAACTAAATATGGAAATGAGGCCACGTAGCCTCAAACGGTGGTGAATTACAACCTCACCATTTTCTCCCCCTGAAACAAGTCCCAGAGTCCATTCTCTCCAT